CTTTTGTATTTGTGTCATCGAAGGTGGCATTATCACAACAGGATTTTATTTTCAAATATAAATTGTCCAGATCTCGATTTCCTCTCAGTATCTTCTCAGTTTTGTCACTTCTCACACACTGTGGATGTACAGGAAAAGTGGACAAATAGGAAAACTGCGCTCCTTAACTCAGTGGATCCTCTCCTCTTTGTTTCAGGAATGGTGAAGCACATTACTGGAGGATACAAGGTGACTTATCACCCTGATGGTCCGGAGGGACAGGCCTATGAGATTGACTTCACTCCACCATTCAGAAGAGTGAGCATGACACACGACCTGGAGAAGATTATGGGTGTCAAATTCCCTCCGACTGATAGCTACGACAGTGATGGTGTGGATCTGAAAATCTTTGTCCTCCTTTCTTTTATATTATTTCCTATTTAAATAGATCACATTGCCTCTTTCTCAATCTGTTCTTTCACAGATTTAGGGTTTATGTTAGTAAAAATATGTAATTTCTGATTTCTCTTTCACGCTTTTGTCTACAGAGACACGTAAATTCTTTGACAAGCTGTGTGCACAGAAAGGAGTTGAATGCCCTCCACCAAGAACCACTGCCCGCCTCCTTGACAAGGTGCTATATTGATGAACATCAACATCTGCTGTACAGTTCATTGCTTTCTCTCTATTTATTTACCAATCACTTTTGTTTCCCTACAGCTGGTTGGAGATTTCCTTGAGGTCACCTGTATCAATCCCACATTCATCTGTGATCACCCTCAAATCATGAGTCCCTTAGCAAAATGGTGAGAGACGCCTCATTTTAGCCTCATCTTTATCATTTAAAAATGTGATACTGACACTTGCCTTATTGTTACAGGCACAGATCAGAGAAAGGCCTAACAGAGCGTTTTGAGCTCTTTGTGATGAAGAAGGAAGTCTGCAATGCTTACACTGAGTTGAACGATCCGATTAGACAGAGAGAGCTTTTCGAGCAGCAAGCCATGGTGTGTATACAAACCTAAACTATTTTTTTTGCATTTGTACACTTTTCCATTTCCTAAAGCTAAATGCTCCTTTCTGATGCAATGTAATCATGTATATTAGTACATATTAATAATTTGACTTGCATATTTTTCAGGCCAAAGCTGAGGGCGACGATGAAGCCATGTTCATTGATGAGACCTTCTGCACAGCACTGGAATACGGACTGCCACCTACTGCTGGCTGGGGGATGGGCATTGACCGTCTCACCATGTTCCTCACTAACTCCAACAACATCAAGGTAAAGCTGTCACATGAATCATAATGCAGTAAGCACTAATAATCGATGCATTAAGTCCTTATATCTAAATGACAACATAGGTTTGCTATTGTCTTCCAAACAACCAGTATGAACATTTTTCTGATCTGATTCCCCGTGTGATTAAAGTTGTAGACCTCTTGTTGCTCTGTGGAGCTGTTTTCCTATGAGCACACAGGGACTCACATGGACGCCAACAGTTTCACACTATTCAGTTTCAAACTGTATAATATTTCATTCAGGTACATGATGTCAAGAAATGTATCGTATAACTGCAAAGCTGCAGTTATAAAATGACTTAAAGAATTAAAACAGAACCGACTTGTTCCTGATTATGTACTGTTTGACTACGTGGTCCTCTCACGACCTTTAGACTGAAATACAACAGAAGAACACATGATTAAAGAAATGCAAAGAACAATGGACTAATGAGATAACATCGTCAAGAAAGTAAATTCCTTGCACTGTGTGCACACATACATGAGCTGCCAACATCTGTCAGGCATCATAGGTTCATGCTGTAAGAGAGAAAAAAAACCCCTCAGCTGACAGTTTTGGTTCTTTCACAGGAGGTGTTGCTGTTTCCTGCCATGAAGCCTGACGACAATAAGACACCAGCGCCTACAGAGGGCACTTCCGTCTAATGACATGACCTCTGACCTCTACTGCTGTCAGATCTGTGCAGGAATTCACTCACTGTGGTCATCAGTGGAGCCCGCGGGTTTTGTGTGTTATTAATGTTAGTCCATTTGATCCTCGCTGTCATTAAGGGAACTCATCTTGTCTCAGTTACAGGGTTAACAATGAGGAATGATTTTCTTTTTTTTTTGCTTTTGTATTTCTTACACTTTTGCGATCATATTTGCATTTGTCCTTCTTGTTTGAATAAAAGGAGACATTTTAATCGGTTTTGTCATCCATATAGTAAATGGATGGTATTTGGTCAGGAAATCATGTGTGATCTGCTGTTGTGTGCAGACCTGGATGAAACACTTTTGAATATACTTTGAGATACTTCGAAGAGAACTTGATTCTGGCTACAAAATACATACTCCACATAATAACAAAGCTCAAGCACCTCTAATATCTTAAGTGTCCTTTGTATAGTCATCTGTTTTACCAGGTTTGCTTGTATTCCTTGTCTGAGACTTTCAAAATGGACTCCACAAATTCCTCTGCCCAAAAGTTTAAACATGGGTATGTCTGAATAAAGCGCATATGAATCTACAATTGTTCCTTCTCTTGTGATGTTTGTGTTTGTTTAGAGAATGAAATTCAATGTATTTCAAGAGCTTTCACAAGTTTCATGAAAAGGAAAGTGTTAGCAGACCCTTAACTCCACTACAGACAGATTAGATATCACCAAGAGGCATGCAGTAGTTTATGTGGTGGTTATTACAATACAATTACTTTTGTTATTGTGATTCATTAAAAGAGTAACTTAAAAGGTGTTTCCTAACCTGGCCGCCAAACCCAAATCAGAACATTAATTGTGATCTCCCCAAAAAGTGCTTACTAATGGAGGTGAAACAAACATCCACTAAACCTTGGTCCCTGGGATAAAGCAAAAACAGGAGAAAAGGAGTCTGACAGTCTAATCAATAAGATGGAGATCTCAATGATCTTACTTTACAGGCTCCGAGAGCACACACTCACACAAACAGCCACACAAAACACACGAGCAAACTGGACAAAAGTTAGAAATAATGGATAAGGCTGTAACAACACCTCCTGCAGTATATTAATATTATAATATTACTACAGTACTTCTATCACTTCATTGGCTCCCAGTGCAGTTGTAGAGGATCAGCTGTTTAAAGCACTTTTTAAAATGTCCACACATCTATTAATTATGTTACACAGGAAATGTTTTACAGTACAGAAATAAACAATGTCATAACTAAATATATGGCAAGCTCCAGATGCTGCCTTTGTATTTGTACATCGAAGTCTTCATCCACCTGGCCAGTTTATAGAGCTCTTGCTGTTGGTGGCTCTGTAACAATCTCTGCAGAGAAGACCTCCACCCTGATTTATGCTGGCTCCTCCTGCAGATGCAGACAGGGTGTCTGCTGCAAAGCTCATAGCTTGGTAGCTGATGATCTCTTTGGCTATGAGGCTGCAGGCCACCACAGCAGTCTTCAGGTCCTCAAGGCGTTAGAGATTTTGAAGGAAGACTTGTTTTTTCATGTCTATGCCTCCTTTTGCAGCATCAAGTGATATCCACCATGGCTCTTTCATGGAAGCTCAGTGTGTAATCAGATCTCATTTTACAGTATCAGAGCCACCAGCTTTAAGCCATAATCCTCACCTGCATTGATGTGCCAGATGTCCTTGTAAGGCTGTCCCTGAGTAGCACAGAGGCTTTCAAGAAGTTGCAGGAAGTAGAAAGAAAAGGTTTTTTATTCAAAGTATATTACCTCTGAATTGTACTAAAAAAACAGCGCTTTAGTTTCTGGCGTTATGACTGGAGGAAAAGGCGCCACGGTTGCAATCAGAGGAAGAGGACCAAAATGTAAATGAGCACACATTCATTTCATGAGCTCCTATAGAGTAAGGGTCCCAGACTAAATAGATGAGCTGAGCAAAAAAAGGTTATAATCCTCCGTGGCTTTGTCATTTTGAGTAACCATTTTAAATTTTTTCCAATGTTAATATAAAAGTACTGCTAAGCACTGCTTTAGCTAAATACACACATTGTTAAATAAGATTATAAAACCAGTTTGAATAGTTTTAAAAATGTTTCCTGATGAGATCTGTGCCGTGTACATATAATATTTGCTACTACAATGATACTGTGGCAAAATGTGACCTGGATACTTTTTATGTGTGTGAACAGTTCAGTACAGACACACAGACAAAAAATATACCTGTCATATATATTGTTCTTATAACCTTTTGTTTATAAATGTATTCAATTGCAGTAGGAGTATTCTAATTTTCTCCATCTAATTACATTGTTGCACTTTTCACTCCCTGTTAACATATATGAAAAGTGTGCTCTCAATTTGAGGAAATACATTTGTTTTGTCACAAAGGCAAACTTAATTCAGGGACTGAATGATGAACAGTGATAACAGCCAATGAGATGTGCTGGGTGTTCACCTATGTGCGTGTGAATGTCAATGAGCGTGTGGCAATAAAGTTCCTACTGTGTTTGTATTCCTCTGTAATTATTTTCGAGTACGCACGCACCCCTGCTAACACTCCCCTACATTTATCCGACTGCTACAGTTACTGGATGATTTACACATTTGGACTTTACATGCAAAACATAAATGATCTTATAAACTGATTTGTTGTCGCAGAATAAAGTACCAAACAGTATATAAAATACCTCAAATTAGCTGGACCAGCAACGACATAAGCATGCCCCCTACATGTTAATGCATCATTAATAATATTCCAATAATATAAAATCTATAATAAATGAAAATAATAAAGTCTAAAAATACAGCGTTAAAAATCATTTTACTTTTGATACTTTAAGCACATTTTGTTGTAAAGACAAATTTGGACTTGTAGAGTATTTTTAACATTATTAATTAGGATAAACAAAGTTAAAAGTTTGTAAGTATTTTCTACAGCAGCTTTCAGAAACCACCGCACACTTGAACTGACCCTCCTCCCACACGCATTCCCCCCCCCCCCCACCCCCCGGCGCGAGCCCGCGAACAGTGGGATGGTGCGCGCCCCCGCGGTCAAGTGTAATGTGCACTCGATTAAAGAGTCGACACACACGGAGTGAAGATGGCGATGAGCGCGGCGCTGCGGTGCCTCTCTGCAAACTTTTCCCCCAGACTGCCTCAGCTCTCGTCAGCAGCGCAGCTTTCAGCGACTCGGCTGCTGTGGAGGAGCGGCTCTCTGCGGGCACTGAACACGACCTCGGCCCTGTCCACAGGTAATAAAGAAAACAAAAACAAAAAACCCAATAACAACAAGACCTCATGCGGGCTTGCTCACACATTCCTGTCTGTGTGCAATGGGCGAAAGAGAGGAAAAAAAACTCACGCAGTTTTGTGTCACTTTCCCACAGCGGAGCAGAGGAGTGCGACAGGAAGGACAGCTAAAAGTTTAACTTGGAGGTGGCTGACTTAAGTACGAAAACTTTAGGAAGACAGCAACCACAAGTAATATTGGCTAAAGTGTACAAAACGGCTTTTATTTCTCCCCTTATTTGATCTCATTGGAAAACCCACGAGCTCCAAATTGTGACGTTAATGAATGACCGTGAACAACAAATTACCCATGTCTCGTGCACCAAATAGTTAGTTATTACACAAAAATCAGCTGTGACCCTGTCTATGTGCTACAAATCGGTGTGGAGCGTTGAAATTCATGTTTATGTGGTCTACAAATGTCAACATTTTGATTATTTTCTCATTGTTGTGGCTTCCCTTTATTATTCCCTCCTCATAGACACAACCATGTGAAATGCTGAAGCTTTTCAAGACTATCTCACCTTGTTTAATGTTGGAAAAAAAAACAGCCCTTTTTAACAGCAGGAATATTCAGCTCTCAGGACTGACTCTGCTCTCTCCTGCCATGCATCAGCATCTCCCACAGTTCACAATCTGGTTCAAACCTGTATTTTTCTGCATGGTCTGATGCCAACACTGGGAATTGTTAAGGCATTGTGGTTCTTCCCTCAGGGAATTGTAAAGATGACAGCATGAGCTTGGACTCAAAAGGCTCTAATGCTTGTTGTTTTAATTGCAGATCTGACTCAGAGGTTCTGACATGTCTGTTTTTGAGGATGTCCCATTGCAACCAGTAAATTACTGATATTTTATTTCTGGAGGCATGGTGTGGCATTACAAACTACTGTTCAGATTTAGTCCATAGTACAGTTAGGTGTCCACTGGTGGGCTTCACTCTATATACTCATCATAGCAGTCTTCTATCAGGGTTCATACTGATTCATCTGTTCCAAACTAACGTACTCTTTTGTTCTCTCTGCAGCACTAAAGTTCACAGATAAGCATGAGTGGGTGCAAGTGGAAGGTGGAATTGGCACAGTCGGTATCAGCAATTATGCTCAGGTAGGTTGTTGGGCCTCTCTCTTTTTTTTTTTTTTTTTTTTTTTTTTTTTAACTAATCATTGATTTAAAACACACTTTGTTCAGAGGTTCACTGATGGCTGGCTAAAAATAGTGATATGCTAATATCTGCAATGTGCAGTTCAGCACTGCACTTTGTCCTCACCTGCAGCAACTGTACTGTAACAAACTAATTTACTGTTTTATGACTATTGTTTGAGACAATTGATAACTACCCAAACTGCAGTGGTGTGCAGAAAATCTCAAGGGTATGCGCTTGCTTTACCTATAGACGTTCAAAGTTTTCTCTTTGACTTGAATGCTGCTGTTTTTATATGTTAAGCAGTGACAGGTTTGCCACACAGCTGCTGAAATCAAAAGTATTTCAAAGGATCAAAAGGATTTTATCTCTGCTGCTGACCGGTCAAAAGTGCTACCTCTAGGATTGTTGTTGAATGTGAGGCAATATAGTGATGTGACAACATGGAGGAGAAACTCTGTCTACTGAGTTGGCTGTTGCTTGTTTTCTAAGTTGACAGAAATGATTTGCATTGTAAAGCATTATTGTCTGGGTTAGCTGCTCACGTCTCTTACATTCTCAGTGGTTCAGATTATCTGACTGACACATCCCCTTTGCAGTGTTTTTATTGCCTCTGTTTATATTCATTAACCTCTTATATCACCCCTGTATTCAAAAGGAAATCCTCATAAACTGTGGATGTGATTATTTCTGAGCAAAGTGTGGGCTTTATCAATTTGCACTCATATTGTACTTGGGAATTTGAACTTTGAGCAAACCTCTGACCATGTGTATGCACGGCATCTTGGAAAAGAAGGTTTTTAAATTATAAGAACATTTAAGGATGAAGTCAATGTTCCTCTGCTTTCTATAAAAAGCTTGAGTCTAAAGCGGCTTATTTTGTATGTTCAAATGATTTGACAGTTTAAGGTTTCAGTAAGAAGCCAAAAGGCAAATCGTGCATTGCTTTAGGACTTCACACATACTGCATTTATGCTGGAAACAGTTCAACAGAGCTCCAAGACACAGGGCTTTTTCTACTGCTGCTGCCGCCTGTGTGCTGGTCCATTATTTCCCCTAATACGTTTATTTTATCTGCAATTTTTTTGTTTTTATGTATGTATACATAAGGCAGTTTCCTCCAGTAAAGACTATAAGTGTTTTTTTAGGAGCAATAAATGAGACATGCTGTGCACAGGCACAGTGGTTTAGGTAAATATGTGTAGGATTAATCAAAGCACACTTCCTACAGGTGAAAATACACACAAACATTTCCATATTCATTCATTTGAGGTCCAGGCCTTAGCTAACTTCCCTACATGCTGTGAAAGTAGAAATGGAGACTATCTTGCTTTCTCACTTTGTATCACTCAGTGAAAGACATTGTGATAGCCACCACATTTGAGTTTCATTTAGTTTAGTTGCATGAATATTTAGCAAACCGACGGGTAACAGACAACTTATAACTCAAGCCAGTTGATACTGTATATGGACACAATCTCCTATAATGCATATTACATCTAAATGGTCAGTTTTACCTGCATTGTAAAGTAGCCCAAAATATATAGGTAATAAAGGAACTTAAGTTCTTAATAGTACACTCATTTCTGATGCCCTAGGACAATGTATCCAGTCACTGCCAATATAAACACTCTTATTTCAAGATAAATGCAACGTCTTCATTCGTCACTGTTCAACTGTTCCAGTTTATTGTGTATGAATGGGCAGGAGAAAGTTTTACATGCCTCTGCTTCCAAAGTATTGATCAGGCTGATAGCGATTAGTTGCACTGTATATTAATTTAACATACCATACTGACATAATCTATAGTACTGTACTGTAACAGTATAAAAGTAAAGTGATTTGTGAATGAATGTGATTGTGTCACGTAGTCTGGTCAAATTCTGTATTTCTCTAATTGCTACAAATTCCATGAAAAATACCAAAACCAACAATGAATGTATGATACTAACAAGTATTCTCTGTGGAGCTGAAGCCAGAAATATCATATTCCTCTGTGCCATCGATCTCACACTGTTGCTCTGGCTAACAAGTTCCTTCACAGCATTGGCACTGTTGTTTATTTTAATCAATCACACATACACTATCCTGCTGCTGTGCAAATGTCTATTAATCCATCCCTTAAAATAGTCCCCAGCAAATGTATTATTTACTCCTGTTTGAGTAGTATTTTAGTAGTCTAAATAATATTATTTCTTGGAAGAAAGAGAAGAGAAAATATTATGTATATTTATGACCCGTTTTTAAAGATTACCATCTTCAGTAGGAACGAATGGGCTTGGGGTTGAGAGCCACGGACAGCTGCATAGTTGGTTTTGTTCTTTTCGTGGGATTTGTTTGACAGTACCAAATATAGAGTACAGCCAGCCTTGTTCTTTAAAATTCTGAATTGTGGGTGCCTGGTAGCTCAGCTAGAAGAGCTGGCCCTCCACATACCAAGGCTGAGTCCTTGCTGCAGTGGCCATGGGTTTGATTCTAAAATTATTTTTGAAAATACAGAATTACACTTAAGATATTATTATTACTTTTACTCACTTTACTATAATAGTCTATGTAGGTTATATTCATGCAGTTTGTTCCGTCATTTTAGGAAGCATTAGGTGATGTGGTATACTGTGGACTCCCTGAAGTTGGCCAAAGACTTGAACAAATGGGTGAGAGCCTGGAACACACTGCACATTTAAACAAATATATATATGTAAAATTGAGTCCAGCAGTGTGACATCTGTCACTGTGTGTGTGTGTGTGTGTTGTAGAGGAGTTTGGTGCCTTGGAAAGCGTAAAGGCTGCCAGTGAGCTATACTCACCACTGACAGGGGAAGTGACTGAAATCAACACAGAGCTGGCAGAGAATCCTGGACTTGTGAATAAAGCCTGCTATGGAGAGGGTAAGCGTCATTCTTCACTCTTGTTCTTTTCCAGTTTCCATTTGTTGTTGTCATTTCCAGGAATTTCTCCCAGTAGATTTGTTGCCAAGGCAGATGACAAGTCACCACACCAAAATAATCTTCACAAGCTGTTCAAGAGAAAATATCAACTCTTATTTTTCAGGGTGGCTAATCAAGATGACGATTGAAAAGCCTGAAGAACTTGGTGGCCTCATGGATCAGCCTGCGTATGATACATTTATTAAGTCACTTGAAGAATAAATCCATCAACTCACTGTGCTGTTTTATAATGTAATTGCAATCAAAGATTAGTAGACACGGTTACTAACATCTTGTGTGACACTCTTCCTTATCTGTGGTATTTATTTTGATACTGGAATTGTGCTATCAGAATAATTTTAAATCCTCACTAACTTCTTATACTTAGGTATACTTACTTAAGGTTAGGATTTATTTAACTACTAGCCAGCCTAAAGGGTTCTTAATCTCAAGATCTGTCTGTATTATTGTGCTTTATCTGGTGTTTTGCACCTTTTTAAAATCTACACAAATGTGTTAAAAGGCTGGAAAGTGATTGTAAGTGCTGTGTAACATTCATTTAATAAAATTTGAGTTTGAGTTGACTCCCCCTGTGCTTTTTTGGCAAACATTCAGGAGTGTGTTGTGATGGTTTAGCAACTAATAAGGACTCATGCACAATTTATGATGTGTGGTAGACCATAGACATATTCATATGCCGCTGTGCATGTGCTGACTGAACATGCTGCTTCTTTTTGCCTATTATAGTTCCACACACCTTGACCTTTGCCCTCAGGTGAAGATAGGCCGAGATTGCAGAAGCTAGTTGATCAATGATTAATGAAGCAGTGGTTTTAGAATCAGTGAGTGACCAAAAAACTGCACTCTCAGGCTGATAATAGAAAAGAGTCTTATTAATTGGTTTTACTGGCTACAAACTGACAAACTGGGATATTGTCAGAGGTTGTTAAAGTCACTGAGAGTAAAATATTCACCTCTGCTTCATTCTCATTCAACATTCCTATTAGATAATTGTATAATAAAAGTTATTTTAAATTCATTTTGTATCCGAATCTTCTTACATTGACTTCAATAATCTGTACTGTGCTGACCTGTTTGTGCACCTTCCAAATCTCCCATTCAAAAGCTGCATATTTCTCCATACCGATATCTTTTTACACTTGCTCTCCCTACACTCTAAAAATGATGCTCTTAAATAAGTAGTTATTCTTATGTTTCACAGTGTGTGCTGTTTGCATCTAACAACTATTTGTTTCATATTTCTCTGATATATTAATCAGACGATGGCACCAGTTTGTTCCTTATTAGGCTCTAGAGAAGTAAATAAAATTTGACTTGAATTCTCTTCTATGGAGTTCTATCAAGTAATCCACTTATCAATCAGTAATATCGAAGATAAAGCAGAAGCTGTCTCTTATCCTTGTTTGTCTGTGGCACAGTAATTTATGAAAACGGTTTAATTTAATTTGGACATATAATTATCTTTTTGAATGTCTTCATTGTCTTTTATTGTGTTGAAAGAGGACACTAACTCAGGGCCATGCAAACAAGTTCAGACAGGAATAAAAGTGCACACAGAAAAACAACTTTATTCACATGCTTAGACATGAATTAGTAAGAAATAAGTTCCTAATGTGGCTGGTGCTTGATAACTTGTCCAGGCACTCATGGATGGCTTGTGGACAGGCTTGCTCAATCATTTCCATCAATCTAAACACCTGAACCACCACGCAGCCACCTGTAATACATGTTACCACATATAGTGCTGTGTGCAGTATCATTAAATTCCCACTGTCTTCAATGAAAAAACAGTGGTACTTACAGTAATGTCCTGCAAAGCACCAGTCTTATTATTAAGGTCTCTGATGACACCGTATAATTAATGTTTTTTATCTAATCTGTAGGCTGTTTAATAACAGGAAGACATGTCACAGACAGGCACAAGCAATCAATAGTTATAGCCTAAAACACATATTAATTTTTAACATTAAAGTTAATTTGGTTCTTTATGAGATTTTTCAAGTGTCTCTCTGAAATCAAAATGTAAAGCTTCAGGATAAAGTTGTACATGAAGCACAAAATGAAAAAATCCTTCCCCAGGTCAGTGCTGTCCTGGTCTGATTTATGCACACATATTTAGATTCTTACATATAGCAGAGGTGAGTTTTATAGCATGTGATTATAAATCTAACCAAAGAATATGGATGAATATGTTTATTATGTTAATTCATAGAACAAGGTTGCTTCCACTGTCCTCTGTGCCTGCAGCACATGGATACGCAAACTTTGCTTTCAAATGAGGACACTAATGTTCATAAATTTTTAATGATGTTAATTTACTGATGGATTATGTGACAATTGGCCCCTGGGCACAGACTTGTAAGTGGCCCCTGCTCCTCCCCGAAAACCACCACCTTTACAATAACATTTAATATAAATTAATAGAGAATCAGGTTATCTCTGTTGTTGACTGTAATCTTTCACTCTCCAACTGGAGATGCTGTCACTTCTAACAGACCTAGGCTTGGGGCCCCCGATTCATGATCTGCTGCAGTTGTTATGTGACAGTTTGTTTATTTTTTGAGCTCACACAGTGATACACAGGCTTGGAGAGTTACAGATTACATGTAACTGAGTTACGTAATCAGGATACCAAAAAAAAGTAATCTAACACAGTTACAGAAAAAAAAGATGGAATCAAATTAGTTATATTTAGTAAAAATGGGGTTTATTTAGCAAGATTACAGTTTTAAAATATTATATTATTATCTGTTTTTATTTAAAAATAAACGGATCAGAGGACACAGGTTTCCATTTTCTTTTTACATTGTTCAGTTGTCTTATAGAATACACTTGCATCAATACTTCTTATCAATATTTCTTTTCTCGGTGTTGAGGTAATCCAGAAATAACGGAAAGTTACATTACTTTAATATTGTGATACTTGGAGTAGTTACTGACTACATTTTTTAAACATGTACTGGGAATACATTTTTAAAGTAACCCTCCCAACCCTGTTAGTACACAAGACACATCACACACATATATAGTTTTTAACAGCCTTTCAAGACTCATATTTAACACATAAAGATAAACAGTTAAAGCCTGTAGACTGTCAGTATAAACTTATTAGGCAATCTAAGATGTAGTCTATTTGACTAGTGCTAGGCCTACATCTAGTGGCCAGTGCAAAAAGTTCACCTCTAAATGTAATTTACAAAACGTCCAGTATCAAACTTGTGATGACATCAAGAAATAGCTGGAAAAAAACATCAGTTTTCAAAATAAAATGTAAGTGAAGCAACATGAACACAGACTGCTAAAACTTTGTAAACTTAAATGATATCTGTTTTAAACAATCACAATGAACTTAATCTAAACTCAACTACCCTGGTCCAATCTATGGTGACAAAAACAGACGGGCATAGATCAATGGATTAATAAATCTCCACACTTATTGGCAATCCCATTTCTGTTTCACAACACTAATCGATTTCCAAACCTGAACACAGCTCCATTAACTGCTGTGATATAATTATTTTCAGAATTATAGAAAAAAATATTGTTAGAAAATTCATAGTAATATGATAACATAAACATAAGCAAATACCCTGTATCATAACAAAGATGAATATAGTGTGATAAACCCACTCATACTTCCGGTTTTGCTCAAATGAAATTGTTCCCTCTGCGTGATTTCATGTTTGAGCATACATTATCTTTTTTGGAAAGACACAAACAAAATCGTTGTTTTCCGTTTTGTGCCATGAACTGTATAAAATACTAACGCCCCTGTTCGGAAACGAAGAAATCACGTCAATGTTTAGTACTTTACTTTATGGTGGACCAGACAGACTTCTTTTAAAAGACAACAAATCGCGTGATTATATGTATTTTTGTAATATATATTGTATCACAGTCATTAAATAATATATTGCATATTCTTACGTTAAATAATCAGAAAAATATTTGTTCATTTTTACGTTTCATCAGCTTGTTCTGGTAGGGATAACCATCCGTTATATACTCTTTGGTTACATCTGCTCGGCCATTGGCTGGTTCACACACATATCCCACAATCCACCGCTTTACAACTTCCTTTTTCCTTTCGGCCATTTTCCTCCCTCGTAGGTATGAGAATTTTTACTCTACACATTTAGAAAGAATCTACCTTAATCCTTGGTATTTTGTTGGTATTTATCAATTTCACGCACAACCCGAAATAGTGTGTTTTGTCACCTTTGTAATAAGGTGATTATTGTCACAGATTTCCTCGTTATATTGATAAACAGCCTCTGTTTCAGTAGTGATCCCCGGTCAAGTGCTGCTTCTGTCTGTTAGCATTGCCGTTACAGGCCAACTTTTACTGCTTCATAATTAAATAATGTCATTCAAAACAAAAATGGACGTCCGCAATAAATACCGAAATGGCAAACGCTAGTAGTTATGGCAACGTGTAGCCGTGACTTAAGAGTCGTGTTGTCAGAGCAACCAATAGCCTGGTTAACCTGCTAGCTTAGCATCACACACACACACACGTAGCTCCGTGAGGACAGACTGTGTACCGGCATGACAGCCGTGCTCATCACCGTGTGCTCTGCTGTGTTGCAGGGAAAGTAGGCAGCCATGGCCCCCAGCCGGAATGGAATGATCCTGAACCCTCACTTCCACAAAGACTGGCAGAAAAGAGTGCGCACCTGGTTCAACCAGCCAGCCAGGAAGATCCGCAGGTGAGAACCGCCTTGTGCAGCAGGGAGATGCTAACTTCGAGCTAACACGTCTTCCACGCATCATGAATGAGTACTAGAGACTCATTTAGTTGCAGTTTAGTTTTGAGCTCTTGTTAAGATAGTATACTGTTAAATCATTGGTCAAAGACAGAAATCTGTTAGGCTCGCAATGGTGATTTACGTTTTTATACTATGTTACTTTTAATAATGTGTTATGGAAAGAAATGTACTGTGCTAAAAGAAGAGAGATTTATGATTTAACGTCATCTGGATCAACATTTTGTGTGCATGGACACAGTCATACAAACCAGTATGACTGACTAAGTAGTCGATATGTGAGTTGGACCAGTTAATGTTCCCATGTTCTTTAGCTGATGCTGTGGGCTCTCTAAAAGTTTAACTCCAAGCAATCAGTATTTGACTGGGAACACATTAGGTTTCCCACTGTTGTTTTACAGCTTTCACATAAAATGTAGTCCTGCTTTAATGTGCCTGCACATTAATTTTTTTTTACATGAACTTGCAGTGCGGGTGCAGTATTTCAACGCTTACACCAAGGTTGAGATGCTTTTGTAGTTCCTGGGATTGAACAGAAGCTCTGGTTATTATTGTTTAACTAAGATACCTCTTTCTTCAGGCGAAAGGCTCGCCAGGCTAAGGCCCGTCTCATTGCTCCTCGCCCAGTTGCTGGACCTTTAAGGCCACAAGTCCGGTGTCCCACTATCAGGTACCACACCAAGGTTCGTGCCGGACGTGGCTTCACCCTGGAGGAACTCAAGGTAATTTCAAGTTGTCTGCAAATAGATTTGTTTTATTTGAAGGAATAACTAATCAGCAATGTCACACTCACTTTA